ATCAGCACAGGAGCCAATATCTTCTCAGCTGGGGAGCATGGCCTGAGCCATTTTTTTGCCAGAATACAACACTAAACTAGGCAATTCCAAGAAGACTTTTGAGAAGCTACCACAGCTCAGTGGTAGAGCACAAGATTTGCATGCAAGATTTGCATTGTGGGACGCGGGTGGCGCTGTGGGTTAAAGCCTCAGCGCCTAGGGCTTGCCGATCGAAAGGTCGGCGGCTCGAATCCCCGTGGTGGGGTGTGCTCCCGCTGCTCGGTCCCAGCGCCTGCCAACCTAGCAGTTCGAAAGCACCCCCGGGTGCAAGTAGATAAATAGGGACCGCTTACTGGCGGGAAGGTAAAGTGCGTTCCGTGTGCTGCGCTGGCTCGCCAGATGCAGCTTTGTCACGCTGGCCACGTGACCCGGAAGTGTCTGAGGACAGCGCTGGCCCTCGGCCTCTTGAGTGAGATGGGCGCACAACCCTAGAGTCTGTCAAGACTGGCCCGTACGGGCAGGGGTACCTTTACCTTTTTACAGCCCTGAGCATCTCCAGTTAAAACTTTAAATGGAAGTTTAACCTCAGGAAGAAATTTACATCAGAATCCACTTATTCAGGAAGTTTTGCATGGAAACCCCTGCTAAACTGAAGGGGGTGGAAATGTCTCCATTTTAGCAGTGCCTTGCACCTGACATCATCAGGTGACTGACAGTTAGGCACGCCAATCCTGAGTGAGGATTTCATCCCAGGTGCCTCCAGTCCAAGTTCAGTCCTCCTCCCCACTTCATCACAACAGCTTCTGCCATTCTTGGTGACCCCAACCAAAGTCTGACAGGGAAGAAAAAGAAAAAGGCGGTCTCTGCATTGAAATCATTCTGAAGCATATCTGATTCTACCTCGAACCTAGAGGGCTTCTTTGCTTCTGTGGCCTCCATAAGAAGACTATCCCCAGAATCTAACACCCAAGAAGGCATCAAGGAGAGAAGCTAGAAGGTTTTAGACAGACAGACAGAGACTGTCTTTATGGCTCTGGGTTTCCACACAGATTCATCTTCAGCAGGGATGGGGGAACTGTAGTCATTTAGATCAGAGTTTCCCAAACTTGGGTCTCCATCTGTTTTTGAACTACAACTCCCATCATCCCTAGCTAGCAGGACCAGTCTTCAGGGATGATGGGGACTGTAGTCCAAAAGCAGCTGAAAGCCCAAGTTTGGGATTACAAATCCTACCACCCCAGACCACTCTGGGGAACTCCCACCCCTCCAAGCCAGAATTCACTCCACAGCTTCATTTGGGACTTGATCTTCAGCAAATGGTGAGATTCTACATGTATCAGCAGAAAATACCATTATTATTTTTTTCAAGTGTAACCAGAAGCACTCACAATCAAGAGCATTAGTCTCTCCTGGAAAATCCAGGACCTGGAAACCACAGCCTGGAGGGAACTGTCAGCAAATCTTGCCTCAGGCTTGTCAGTACTGCATTAGGTTCCACTTTATTTCCTGGGATAATTCAAGTCTTCCCCCATCAAAATTGACCAAAAGTCCCGCTAGGGACTAGGAGCGTTTCTTTACAACCCTGCCTGATTGAGCAAATCAACTGCCTCGAGCTGGGAGCACACAACTGCCAAGGCAGAACAGGCGTGTTACACCATCTGCTGTTGACATGACAGTCCCGGGTCTTTAAATAGCCAAGGGTCAACCACAGGAGCTCAGAAAGCATGCATCTCCGTCCCAAGACACAGGCGTGCAGTAGCAGCACACAAGACCCATCCAGCTGTCACCTCGCCCATCCCTGTCAGCCAAGCAAGGAGGTTTCCATCATACTTGGCAAAGGGAATTGTTCCAAGAGAGATGTTGCAAATGAAGGGCCATAGCTCAGTGGCAGAAGACCTGCTTTGCAGGTAGGAGGTTCGTGGTTCCATCTCTGGTGTGTCCAGGTAGGACTGGAAACAGCTCTATTCTGAAAACCTATACAGCTGCTGCCAGTCAATTCAGACAATACAATAGCTGGAAAGACCAATGACCTGACTTGGTATAAAACAGCTTCCTATGTCCCTAAGAATACTTATCAATAGCAACTTTTTTATTTTAAAAAAAGCAGGTTTGCTAAACAACTTATCCCAGAAACCCTCACTGAGAGACTTGCTGTTGCCACAGACATGACTCTTTCATGAAAAGTAGAGGAAGCATCTCAGGATACACTGCGAAAAAGAGTGACTCCACTTGCTGCCAGAGTTACAGAGATAATTCTCTGGAAGTACACTGGTCTTTGCTAATTTCCGCACAATGATTTCTTCCTAATCTCCCCTTGAATGCCTAGGAATTTACACAGTCGACAGAATGGCAACCTTTCTCCAGCTCTGTTCTGTTCAGGTTTCAGAAATGATAAGAAAAGGCAACATGAAAAATCTAACAGTAAATTTAACACAGCCCTTGTCAGCCAGGTGTCCTCCAGATATATTGGTCTACAATTCACCACAGTAAGGGCTGGCGGAGAGCTACAGTCGAAAACATCTGGAAGACCCAGGTTGGCAGAGGCTAATCATACAGACACACCGCTTTAAAGTTGTTCATCATCTTCCCCAGGGCCACTTTAAGACCCCACCTGCCATCATAAAGGCTTCCTGTAAAGGCAGCCACAGAGCAAAGCACTGGACACACACTAGCCTATATCACTTGTACATCACAACAGCACAGCTTGCATTCTGGTTCCGATCAGTCAAAATAATTGCGAAATCACCCTTGAACTTCAACAAGACTCCTAGTGAATGCTGCAGTTTGTGAAGATTCAACTCAAAAAATGCTTTTGGGTCAGCAATGTTGCAGTGGGTGGGGAGTCAAGATGATGATGAAAGGATTCTTGTTAGGCCCTGGACCAAAGTTCAAATGCTCAGCACCAGCAACTCTCTGGACACTGCACTCTTGAGGAATGCAAAGCAGTTTGAGGCTCGCAGAAATCTGTACGATATCCAGCTCCTTACAAGCCGCAGCTGCTATTTTGGACTGTGAAGTCCAAGTTAAGTCACCATCCACTGAAGACTGCAAATTCCAAAGTTGCTGATGTAAAGATGTGTTCAGGGAAGACAATGGCAAATTATACAAAGGCAAGAGGGATTGGGGGGGGTAGCACACTGTAACTCCCTCTCCTTACCTGCTGGGGTCAGGTAAGGCCACTGAGTGGCAGACAGAAGCTCTAACATGCAAACCTCTCTCCAAGCTTGCTGAATCTAAATAATCCAACAGCCCACAGCATCTGAGCTGCAAACAATATCAGAGATGTCTGTCACTAAATACTAATATAAAATGTGGAGTGAAACACATCACAGGTAAATATTTTGTTTCAAGCCTAAGTAAACCTGATAGCTTCGGAGATTTCCAGCTCTTAGGTTAAACCCTGAATATTCTGCACAGTATCAAGTTTCTGTCTTTAGCCCACAGAAAACATGATATGTGCCGAAGCCATTGGCACCGTTAGTGCAAGCAAAATCCCTAGAAGGCGACAGCTTAAATCTTCTCAATTGACATCAAGCCACAGACCCAGAAATTGATTCTTCCAAAGTCCTCCACGACAGCCTCACACATCCACCGTGCTTTCCTGTGTCCAAACAGAAAATGCAGTGCCAAAGCAGAAAAAGAACCGGCTGTCTAAACTTCAGCCCGACCTGAAAATTTCACATTGCCCAAAACTGCAGAATTTAGTTAAGCTGCAGTTCAGTTTGCTACCCAAACCTGGAGAACAAGAATCTTAGACACCGTGGACCTTGCTTCAGTGACGCAACTGGGAACTTGCAAATGAAAGAGGACAGGATTAGATCTGGAGTGGGGAGGGCAGAGGAAGGATGCTGCAACCACATATTCTACTCAGGATGGAAAAAGCAGAGAAAGAACCCAAGGATGCTGTCTTTCCTCTACAGGGGCAGCCCGCTAGCTAAGGGTGGCAAGAGATGAAGCAACCCAACCAGTGGATGGTGTGCAATTATCTTTCTCCACCACCCCTTCCAACTTCAGTGTCTCAGGCTAGCACCTGGGAGAGAAAACTTGTTTCAACTGGTGTTACCTGGCGGTGCACCTGCCCTCCCGCTCGGCTCTGCTGGCAGCTCCATTAATCCCCCCCCCTGGCAAACCACCCACAATATTGCTGCGCTCCCAAGAGTCAGATGTGCACCTGGAAGAGAGCCAGAAGAATTCAGATGTGGAACCACAGCCAGGAGAGGGGAGCTCAGGGTCAGCAGGGCCATTGCTGGGGACACACACCTGCCACCATGTCAGAAGTGCGTAGGCACAAGTGTTCCGAAGTCTGCAGTGCCAAAGGGGATTGGTGGGGTGGCAAAGGAAGGGGCCACCTTACCACCACCTCAGCTCTTTGGCAGAAAACTCAACTCTGCAAAATACTGAGGAAAATTCTGAAGCGGGGGCGGGAGGGGGCCGGGAGAGGGTTGCCCCTCTGCCAAAAGGCGGGGGCGCAGGTATATGCAAGGACACTTCACGCTCACATCCTTGCACATCACAAAGCACCACATCCACGCTCCAAAATACGCACTTCTTTACCTTTCAAAGAGTGCTACCTAAAACTGACACACACACACCCCGCGCGCGCGCCGCCCTACTAGCCATTCCTGCAGACCGGTTGTTAACCCCTTCCTTCCCTCCGCTTCTCCCAAGCCAAATCCAAGTACTCACAAACCCGTGGGAGCCGATCCTTTCCCCGCCCGCCTGGAGGGAACCTACTTCCTCCGCTCTTGGTTATGCCCCCCTCAGTTAACCCCTTCTTGCCTGCACAAGAGGTTCAACACCTCTCTCCCATCTCTGGAGTGGGCCCGCCAGTCCGCGACGCCCAGCCTCCCCCACCACCCCACCACTACCCCGCACGCCCTCCGCTCTTCTCTTGGGGCGATCGCCAGAGCGCAAAGGCCACCTCCTTTGCGCCGCGCTGCACAAGCCCTCTCGTCGGGGCGGCGACCACCGCCCGCCCGTCCAGGGCTCGTTCCTTCGGCGGCGGCGTCCTTTCTACTTACCAGCCTGTGCGAGGAATCTCCGCGCCACCGCCGCTGCTGCCGCCCGGCTGTCATCTTGCTGGAAGCGCGGAGAGGAGGAGGAGGAGGAGCCGGCGCAGAGAGCGCGGAGCTGCCGGTCGGGGAGCGTGTGCGGGAAGATAGGGAGAGAGGGAGGGAGGCGAGGCTGGCCCGGCCGATGGGAGGAGAAAGGGAGGGCAGGAAGGAAGCCGGAGCCACAGCCGCGCACTCCTCCTCCTGCCCGTTGTTCCCTCCTCTTGGCCGGAGCGTCCCTCCCGAGCGAAGGCGAGACGCAAACCGTCCACTTCCAAGCGCGCACCGGCCGACGGACAATGGCAGCAGGGGAGCCGGCTGAGGGGCCGCCCTCCACGTGCTGGCTCTGAGGACGGCAGCCGTCGCTAGAGGGCCTTCGGGAGACCGCAGAAGGAGGAGGAGGAGGAAGAGAATCAGCGGACCGGGAGCCCTTCGTCGCGGCAGAGGCGGCGACGTCAAATCCTAAATCAAACTCGCGTCGCATAATCAGTCGGTAGCATGACCTGGCGGAGGAGGCGGCCCCCTTTCATAATTACACATAAAGCAGGTCTCGTGGCACCTTTTAGAGACAAGCAAGATTCACCACCTTATGCCAGATGAATTGTGGCATAAGCCTTTCCAAATTGGGAGTCCTGTCCAACAGAAGCAGGAAGGGCTTGTTATTACATTGATGTGCCACCTTTCTTCCAAACAGCTCAAGGTGGCCTACATAGTTCTCCTCTACATTCTGTTCTCACAACAGCCCTGTGAGGTAGAGAGACTCTGGCTGTGAACACACCATACATGTAAAGCACATGACTTCCCCTAAGAATCCTGGGAACTGTCTACTGGAAATTGTGGCTCTACGAAAGGTTAACTAGTTTAAATATACAGCCGTACCTTGGATCCCGAACGCCTTGGTACTCGGATGTTTTGGCTCCCAAATTTCGCAAACCTGGAACTGAGTGTTCTGGTTTGCGAACATTCTTTGGAACCCAAACGTCCAACGGGGCTTCTGCAGCTTCCGATTGGCTGCAGGAGCTTCCTGAAGCCGATCAGAAGCCGCACTGTGGTTTCCAAACGTTTTGGAAGTCGGAACGGACTTCCGGAATGGATTCCGTTCGACTTCCAAGGTACGACTGTATGGCGTTTATGCAGCCTACAACTGCCCCAAAGTCACCCAGTGTGCTTCCTGGCCAAGTGGGGATTTGAACACTCGTCTCCCAGGTACCAGTCCAGTACTAACAACTGCAGCACACCAATTCTCATCATTGGCTAACCAGGCCCAACAAAGTATTGCCTTCAATTGGGCCAAATGACCATGAAATGGAAAAGGCACAATAATCTGCAACTTCTGCCTATGGGCTCAAGTGAATATGAGATAACCAGAGTGACCAGTATCAACAGCTGTGGCCGTAAATTTTGTACAGTTCTTAAACTAAGGCTGCAATTCTCTACTCAATGGATTTCTGAGCAGACATTTATAGGATCGTTCTGTTGGCTTCCAATCCTAAACACTCTTGCTAGGGCGTTAAGTCCCATTCGAGACTTTTTTTTATTTATTTAAAAATATTTATATGCTGCTCTACCTTCCTACATGCTAAAAAATATATACAGTCATACCTTGTGTTGCATTTGCTTCAGGTTGAGCATTTTCAGGTTGCGTAACGCGGCAACCTCGAAGTACCGGAAAGGGCTACTTCCAGGTTTCGCCACTCGCGCATGCGCAGGCACTCAAAATGACATCACACGCAAGCGCAGAAGCGGCGAATTGCGACACACGCAGATGCGGGTTGTGTTCTGCTCAGGTTGCGAACGGGGTTCCAGAACAGATCCCGTTCACAACCAGAGGTACCACTGTAGTGCCTTCACGCTGTGTGTCAGCAACAGTGTGAGAAACAGCAGGCAGGCCCAGGCAAACTGCTTAACGAGATAAGGAGGTGTTGTGATGTGCCTCCCCATCCACCCCCAACCCATTAAACAGGCCTGCAACAAAGTTCAATGGTGGGTGAGGCCCTTCCCATAGCAATTTAGTAAACCACTATGTAGAATCCCTCTGCTTCTACCCCTCTATTAAACATGCATGCAGGAAGGTTTAAGGGGGCTCCTCTGTAAGGTGTATCCCCCTCCTTTAAGGGACTTGGGAGGGGAGGGGCTTGGGGTGGCTGTGGTGGGATAGGCAAGGGGGTGGGTGAGGCTTAAAGGGGGAGGATTTGGTCAGAGGCAGGGGGAAGGACAGAAGGGTATGCAACGCTGGCGAGTAGGGGCAGCAGTCCTTATTTTAAAAAAAACAACCAAGCTGGTATACAGCAAATCATTATGCTAAAGAACAAAGACAATGAATCAGTATAATACCATAAAATAGTGATGCATATGCCATTTCACCTGACAGCAGTGTGTGCAGGCTGCATTGTTGGCATCCATCTGTCTTGAGAGGCAATGGATGAGTGCACCTGCAGGTGGGGTGAGGTCAAACCGTTGGAAAGTTTCAGTGCCTGCTGTGGCTGCAGAGACCGATACAGGAGAGACATGTTTTGTTGCAGCTCGGGCAGATGAAAATGTTCCATGGCTTCTCTACATTACTGATCAGAAAATGCCTGCTTGGGCAAATATACTGGAAAGCACTCGGCAAGAAGGGAGTACAGTTTGCATGTCAGTCTTCTGAGGAAACAGGCACAGGGTTGCACTGTAAGTGCTTTGTGCACGTTAAAAGGATACATCCCTGCCCAATATTTAAATATAAGTAGATGCAAGAGACACAAAAGGAAAGCCAATCGAGACAGGGCACCTCCATAAGAGTGAACAGCCGTTGCAGGCCTGCTGGATCAGGCCAATGGCCCATCTGGTGCAGTATCCTGTTATCATAGTGGCCAGTCAGATGCCTCTGGGAAGTCTGAAAGCAGGATCTGAGCACAACAGCACTCTCCCCTCTTGCAGTTTCCATTAGCTGGTATTTGGAGGGATACTGCATCCAAGAGTAGAAGGAAAACATCACCATTGTGAGTAGTTGGCACTGAGAGCCTTTCAGAGCTCTGCTCTTTGACTGACTGGCTGATCAAGTAGAAGTCCTAGGAAGGAGAGAAAATCTGTTCCCTGGTGATCCCTGTCCTTACCCCAAGGGTTGAATCCTGCACATCAGGCATTACCTCCAAGGCCGCTTCCAACCCGATGAATTTCTATAGCTAGCGCCTGTCCATTGCCCAGTTTAATATCCCAATATCTAAAAAGGAAAATTAGCAGGCAGTGGACCGTTCTGCCTCTGCTCACATTCCCAAATAATGACTGTACATCACTGGCTGCCCTAAGTTAAGGCTGAGTTAAGGCAGACCACATCCAAGCCACAATGTGGCAAATTTATGGGTGGTTGAAAGCAGATTTGTATTACACAGTAATTAAAAGCAACAACCCTTAATTCTAAAATACTACTTAAGAACTTAAGTAGAGCTTTGCTGCATCAGACCAATGGCTCATCTAAGTCTTCCACCCCGTTCTCACAATAGCTAACCAGATGACTATGAGAAGACCACAAGCAAGACTTGAGGGCAATTGCTCTCTCCCAGCAAATGGTATTCAGAAGCATTCTGCCTTTAGCACAAATAACAAAGTTCGTAACAAGAAATAGCCGTATCCTCCATGAATTTTAAGCGTGGTTTGAAGTCATCCGTGTTGGCGGCCACACTGCGTCTTGTGTTAGTGGATTCTATAATTGAACTATGTGATGTATACTTCCTTCACTGGAAGGCCCCAGATTTTAGTATTATGAGAAACTGAGAGAAACTTAACTCTGCCCACTTTATCTGCACATGCATAATTTTATGCATCTCTGTTACACTTCACTTTTTTGTAACCAAAAAAAGCCCCAAATGTAAAGACACACAAAATTCCCTTTCCTCAGAAGGGAATTGCTCCAGTACTTTGATCATGTTACTGTAGTTACCTTTTCTGAACCTTTTCCAGCTCTGCAGGCTCCTTTTTTGAGGTAGAATGGTGACCAGAACTGTATTCCAAGTATAGTCACATCATAATGTTGTATACAGTGGTACCTCGGGTTAAGAACTTAATTTGTTCTGGAGGTCCGTTCTTAACCTGAAACTGTTCTTAACCTGAGGTATCACTTTAGCTAATGGGGCCTCCCGCTGCCGCCGCACGATTTCTGTTCTCATCTGGAAGCAAAGTTCTTAACCCGAGGTACTATTTCTGGGTTAGCAGCGTCTGTAACCCGAGGTTAACAACTTAATTCGTTCTGGAGGTCCGTTCTTAACCTGAAACTGTTCTTAACCTGAAGCACCACTTTAGCTAATGGGGCCTCCTGCTGCTGCCGCGCCGCCACTGCATAATTTCTGTTCCCATCCTGAAGCAAAGTTCTTAACCTGAGGTAATATTTCTGGGTTAGCAGAGTCTGTAACCTGAAGCGTATGTAACCTGAAGCGTATGTAACCTGAGGTACCACTGTAATGGCGTTGTGATTTTGACAGTTATAGTTTTCTATCCCTTTCCTCAAGATCCTTTAAATGGAATTCACCATTTTCACAGCTGTTGCATACTGGGTCAGCACCTTCTCAGAGTTATCCACTATGATCCCCAGTCTTTTTCCTGGTCAATCACTGCCAGTTTGGATCCATAAGTGAATATATATATATTAGGATTTTTGCCCCAGTGTGTATACTTAGTTACATTGATTCACATTCACCTAATTTTAATGCTTGTTCATTCGGTTTAGAGAGAACCTTTTGGAATCCCTCCAATTTCTTTTTTGTTCTTACTACCCTGAGCAATTTGATGTCATCAGCAAGCTTGACCACCTCACTGCCCACCCCAAATGCCATGTCATTTATGAACAAGTTAAAAACTACCCATCCACAGGGGAATCCGCTATCTACATCTCTCTATTAGGAGGACTGTCCATACATTCCTACCTGTTTCTTAACCAGTCACTGATCCATAAGAGGACCCTCCTCTTATTCCATGACTGCTGGACTTATTTCGGTGAACAACTTTTTGAAAGTGTTAAGTGCATAATGTCAACTTGATCACCTCTACCTGTATGCTTGTTGACACTCTCAAGGAACTCTAAAAGGCTAGTGAGGCAGG